ATTTTCTTCTACTAGGAATTTTCTTCTTAAACTTGTTTTCTCAGCCACTAATTCCCTCTGCAAGGGACAACTGAAATATACGGACAAAAATCACTGCTACATAAGTCTCAGCACTTGCCCCTTCAGTCTCTAACTTACATACGTTAAAATTAGTCTGCTTTTTACATACATTTCAGATGAAATGGTTAAAAGGAAGAGGAAAAACAGCAATACGTGAAATTAAAGCAACTATTAACACACCCATTTTTAACACTTTCTGTCACATTGTCCAGAAGAACATCTATAACCTGCTCAAACTGGACCACAAAACCAAAAAGTTAAAACCTCAAGACTGCCTCTGTTAACAAATTGCAGATGCAGGAGACTGATCCAAAAAGACCTCACAAATCAGCAGTGAGGGGAAGAGAGAGCAAATCATGCAGAAACTATTTAATCAATGAGTTAAGACAATTATAACATCTGTTAATCTTTTGTGTAGGTTATAATTAGATGCTGCGGAGGAGTAGCCTTTAAGGGGGAGGCAGGGAATCCTTTAACATCTGCTAGGAGGGCAAACACTGTGCAATAAATGACTTTAAATGCAATCAGCAAAATGAGAGCTGTGCAGAGTTCACAAAAGGCCTCTATAAAAGATTGAGGATAACAAAATATTTTGCCAAAGGTCAACTCCTGCAGCAACAGAGCCTGAATAATGACTGCTAGTTTAGAGGCCACAACAAAACAAAACATGTACCTCTGAAAAACAGTTCTTTTCTCATTTGTTTCATTATAGCAAAGCTACCTGCTGTTGCTGTGTATCACGTCAGTTTAATGACTTATTAGGGCTGTAGCTATCAACCTTGAACAGTTTAGAATAAACAGGTAGGTGTGATATATTTTAAAGACCAGAATTCAGTCTAATTAGACTGACACAAAACTGTGTTGTACTGTAAAAGTGATGTGATTCTGATTTTAAATAATCAATCATTTAGTAGCTTCTAAAAAAATCCAGTAATTTACTCATTTTGTCCTTGAAAACAACCATATGCCTTCAGCTGTTACTCAGTGAAAATATGAGAACAAGGAGGAGTTATTCAGTTTAACACAGCCCTCTACTGGCAAAATAATCCCCCAAAATCTTGTCACTACGAACCATTTTGTCATATCATTTCAGATCAGCTGAAAAGATCCCACATTTTACAGCAAAGTTACACCAAATCTTAGAAGATAGCAGTGTAGATCAGAGCTTTAGGGATCTAAATAAATCAAGCCACCACTTAATCTCTCTGGAGTTACCTTGCTGACAGCACTACTTCCTTTTACCCAGCAGATGCAGATCTGAACATCACCAGAGCACTGAAGGAAAAAAGCCAAGTGCTCATATCTGGTGGAGTAAGTCATTTTAGACACAAATGCAGTCTTTTTACTTGTACAAGTTGTGCTGTATTCCTAAAAGAATGCCACACTGATTCCCAACAGGATCAATGCACACATGATTTTAGCTTGCACAACTAGGTAATACTACAGCAAAGCAAGCACAATACAGCCCAGCTGAAAAAAGAATACTATTGAAAATAAAAATGCTAACTACCACCAAAAAGCAGCTTCATTGCAAAAGAATTCCTGCTTCCTTTTCTTCACCATTACTGAAAATCCACAGCTGTGATTCAACACAGCTTCAATCAAGTGAAGCAGACAATGAAATTCATCTCTGTTGTTACATGCAGTAATTAACTCTTCCTATTTGTATTATGTCCGAGCAACAAAGAAACAAAAGGATATGGTAAACTGTTGAATTTAACAATTTAGATAACGATGAATTATAATAATCAATTAGCACTGTCAAAGGAAATATATTGTGCCACGCATTTGATTCTGCACAGACCTATTATGTGCACACACTATCCAAAGCTAGTTTGGCTGTGGAAAAGTGTTGTCCTGTGGAAAGCTTATCAAACATGCAGTTTAATAGTAGCATTCGTTCTTGCTGTATGTCATTACTAATAGTCCATATTTCAGCATCATAATTTTTAGCCATTCCTTTATAATCCAACCTGCTTTTCAGGGTCTGCATCTTTCATAGCCCATAGACAATGTTACTGCCAGCTTCCAGAAGCCATCGCTGCTGAACAAACCATGTTTCTCTGGTTCACCTGAATGCAAGTCAGTGGAATCATAAAAATTCCTGAGTATTTTTCACATAATATCTATCTAAATTTTCATCCCCCAAACATCATGACTAATTTACGTAACCATCGGGAATACCTAACGTAATTCAGGTTTCTGCATGCTACATGAGTGGTATCATTAGAGAGTACAGAACAAAGTATTAAAAGTGTTAATGGTTTATTTTGTGTTTACATTGTACATTTATCCTATTTTAGTAATAAACCTGTATATGACATGTTACAACTTCTGGCAGTGTTCTGGCAGCTTTGGCATAGATTGTTCTTAAGCACAGCTCCAATCCTGCCAGGAGCTGAACACGTGCAGAACTACACAGAAGCTGCAGAGCATCACACCGTATTTGGCCCTGTCTGAAGCATGCTAAGCTACTCAGCCAACTGTGCTTCCCTTCGGCTCCTTTGTTTTGGGGCTTTTATCCCACCCTCGGTCCCACTTGTCAGATGCTGACAGGCTGGAGTCTGCACTTATTCCATTTCTTTTCAGATGGTGAGAAAGCCAAAAGAATTGACATTCTGTTGGCAATTGTTCCCTTTAATGCCATCCCAGAATGTTATCAGATTATATGCAGTATCCTAGGGCAGATTTCTCAGATCCAGGGAAAATCCAACCAGGGGATCCCTCTGCTGAAAAGTGATCTCACTCTGTATCCTAATTTGCTACACTGGAATATAAGGAAGAAAATGTAAATGTGAGAATATAAGGAAGAAAATGTAAATGTGAGAAGGGAAATATAACAGAGGAAAATGAAAAAAAAAAATGCCCCCAGGCTCATAAGGTTTTGAGAGTCTGCTTCTGCTCTGGAGGTAATTAGCTGAAGATCTGCTCTTGACTGAAGTGGAATTGTACGTTACTGGGGCAGGATTTCTAATTGTTTAAATTTAAGCTTCTAAACACTTAGACACAACTCATGCACAAGAACAACAGCAGAGAAGTTCATAAGGAAGTTTTCTCAAATTCACATTTGTAAGATTAGGACTTCCCTTTAAAATTAATTGAAGTAATAAAAAAAAGTGGGACATGAGCTTTTTTAAAATTTTAACTTAGGATTTTTTAGGTATTTGCCAACGTGATACCTGAATATTTTGCAAGTGTAAATACCCTTATCAATTCACTGCCACAAGGCGACAGAGGAAAGGAAGGACTGGCCCACAGGAGTCATCATGGAAGGGGTGAAACCACCTAACCTTAAACTCATTCCTTCTCCTCAGGGAAAGGCTCCATCACAATTCTCTGTTCTTCCCTCTTGTATTTAATGGAAGCTTTCAAGCTACAAAAAGGTCTTTCAAAGAACATAAATATTTTTTATACTATTTCTGAAGAAGAAGGATGAACAACTAAAGAATAAAACTCTACGCTCTTATTTAAGACCCCAAAGTCTTTGCCATTTGCATGGCATTAATGCAGAGCTAAATTTAGGGTTGTTTTGGGTTTTTTATTTCCCAGGATAATATGCTTTAATTCCAAAGACAGAACAACAGGTCCCAAATTGCACAGTATCTTGACATGTCAAGCTACATTAGAGCATCAAAAGAAGAGAAAGACAGATTTTGATCGCCTGCAGAAACAGGGTCATTTGAGAGGGGCATCCGTGCTTGTAGCCACTCAAATCTTAATAGGAAGCCCCAAAAATCTGTTCCTGTGTAGGACTGAGAGGCCTTGTAAACAAAGTCAGTAGCAAGAAAAGCAAAACAAAATCAATAGTGCTAACAATTCAAGAGGAATCCCTCCATTCCTATCTGATTGATTTATACTGACTTACCCTCATATAAGTGCCAATCAGTTTTCTGATTTCATTCTTCAGAAATGCGCTTTACCTCTTCAAAGGCAGATCATTAAATAGAGGTAAACAGTAATAAAAGAGTTCCTGATACGCAGTACTGTGATCAGGTTACTCCCTGGAAAAGACACTAGAACTGAAATTGCAGTAATTCAGAATGGGCTTCTGGTGAAGGATTGAAATGAGAAGCAGGAGATATGCGGTTTGTTATCAGCTTTTGAAGTGGGTAAACAAAGTTTAAATAAATCAAATCTATGGGTCTGTTTCCCCTGTGTTAAGTGGGAATAAGTCCATGACAGTCAGAGCTAGTTGTCCTGAAAATTAGTTAATCAGTGGTCAGAAATATAGTTCTGTCCCACAAGCAGCTGTCAGTATAGAAAGTTTTTTCACAGCACTTACCAGTGTAATAGTGTTTCTGCACTGATGTTTCAGAATTTGTTGTACTTCTAACAAACACTCAAACTAAAAAATACTGTTTCTCACATAACTGACAACTCATTTTATCCAAAACACATCAGATTTCAAAGCACTGTATGATTCGTTCTTTTAAACTTACATACCTCCAGAATTTGAACAGGGGCTAAAAGTAAAAATAGTCAAGTTTTGCTTTAAATCAATGCCTGCATTAAGGAGAAAAACAATTTTTAATGAAAACTGTACTAAAATAAAGAAGGAAATTATATTAAAAATACAAATTAACTTTGAATATTCAGATAAATACCATGAAATGATAAAAGAACAATCTTAAGACAGACTACTTTTTGCTCAGTTAATGACAGTGCTCAAGAGATTTTTAAGAATCTTAAGAGCTTCATCACTTAAATTAAGAGACAGCCCCTTCAGTGTAGCCTCATGCAAACAAAAGCCAGAATTAAGTTTTCATTTGTCCTTTACTCTGTTGCTGAACCACACTTAGATGCATGGCTGCAATTACTCTTAACGACTACATACTTGCTGCTCTAATTAAAGCAAAACTACAAATAGCAATGCTGACACACTTCTAGAGAAAATAAGCTTTACAGAGATGATAAAAACACCAAAACAGCAAAAGTCTTACTTGCAGCAGTTCAGTCAAAACATGCCAGCTCTGGAGAACTCAGAACCGTAAGAAGTCTTTGCAGTCCAGAAATTCTCTTGAGTTTATCCAGTGTTTATTTAACAAGCTTTAAAAGTCTGTGGTTAGAAGAACAGAGTTAGCTTTCTACACCATCCACAGCACTACTGAAGTCCTCCAGTAACAGCAGACATTAAGTTTGCTGATAGTTGGGTTTGCTGCTGCTATGTAGTTGCTCAGTACTTGTAAATACAAGCTCTGTGGACAAAGTCCCAAATGACATCACAGGCAGCTGCTTATTGTTGAGTCTTTATTAACCGACTGTCAAAAAAGAAAAGGAAAGAGAAAAGAAAAGCCCAAACTATCTTCCCTGCAGCACAATCTGCATCTTAGTAGGAGTTTCAGTGCTTCACATATAAATACTTCTGTTTACCCAACTGATGTTTTCTTAGAATGAATAAACAGTGCTTGCAGGGAAAGCAGAAAAAGAAGAACAACTTAAACAGCTTCAACATGGAAAAAGCACAGGGAGAAAAAGAAAAAATAAAATTGCCATCAGTACCTTTTCCAAAATTTGCCCCTCAATTCTCCTAATTCGTCTGTTCATTTAAACACACATAACTAGGGGTGCAAATCTGCATGAATTTTAAAGCACAGAACAGAGAACTTTAGTAAACAGAATGTTTCAACTCATTCCTAATTTTAAACCCTACAGAATTACAAACTTTTGTAACTTAAATTTATAAGATTTAAGACAGCTCTACTTCAGTTACAATGCATTTTGAAGAAAACTCTCTTGCTTCCAAAAACTAAAAATACAAGAAATCAAGAAACAGCATCAAACATAGTTATTCACTAGGTACTAAGGGCATTTACTGACCTTTCCCTCTCAGACGTGGAGGTCCAAGACCAAGTAGTGCTTTGGAGCCAAAACAGTCACTTGGCTCCCAGCCAGGCATGGAGTACTCACCTGAGAACTAGTCCAGCTACTAATCTGAACCTATCAGGCACTGAGAATTCCTGCTGAAAGAGAGGGGCTGATAGTCTGTGCCTTGATTTCTCAGAAGTCAGTCCTTTCAAATAAGAACTTCAGATGCTGTAGGGGCACCACTAAGAGTTGGGACAGGTTGAGCTCTGTTATCTGTGCACACTTCCGCATGAACAGCTTCAGTATTGAGAAACACCTGGCTACTCATATCCAAATACCCCAGACTGCATGTCCCACAAACACCAAAACAACCAAAACTCAGTGATGAGCTGAAGCCAAGTTTTTACCACAATTTAATTGCTTCATATAAAAGCAACAACCCCCACTCTCCCTGTATTTATAGACAGCAAATCAATTTTGGGTCAGACCCTCAGCTGATGTAAATAAAGCTAGATGCAATGATACACTAGAACAATAACAGTCAGCATCAACTAAAATCTTACTTTCGCCTGCAAGAGTGCCATTAAAAAAAAACTGTGTGACCTAAATGACAGATTTTCTTGGTGCTTGCTCTGAGTGGCAGCAATACCATGCTGACAAAGTGCCACTGAACTTGCTGGAACTGCTTACATAGGCAATCACTACCTCTGCTGCTTGCTGCTTCTAAAATGTAAGTTGGTGCTTTTGAAGGAGATCTGTTATAAATCCACCTCAATTTATTCCTGTGGCTAATCAGCTTGTAGCACACAAGAAACATCATGCTGTGTAACAACAAGTTATATTTATCACCCTGACTCAAACATACAGGGCTGTGTTCCTCTTCCATTGCAAGATATAAACCCACCAAGGGTTTATAGCTTGCTCATTGAGAGCTTACTATTTGATCCAGGAAGTCTTCAAAATGCTTTGAAGATGAAGTGGGCTATGGGAGTAATAAGTACTAACACATAATATTCAATAACATGAACTTCAAAACATACAGCTTTCGCTCCAGCTTTGCAAGTGCCATAGTGTAGCTACTCCATTTAAGCAAACGCAAAAGAGGCTGTGTGCTCACACATACAGCTCCATAAAGCTTCGGTTCGTTCCAGCTGAACAAGCAAATGCATAAGATCTGCAGAAGACTTAGATTTTGTTTAAACCTGATGTTGATTTACAGTGTGCTTCCTCAGACCAAGGATAAGATGCATTTTTTTACCTGCCTTTAGAAGTATTTATAAAATTGCAAAACACAGGTTACACTCCAGGTCTATTGAAAACAAAACTGTTTTTTTCCATGGCAGTAACGCAGACACACACGTAGAAAAAACAAGAGTGTATAGATTCATAAAATAAGAAAAAAAATGATTTAAGTGAAAAAGCAAAATGTTTAATGAAATACAAAAGGACAAGCCTTAAGGCTTGAGGGTAGTGAGGTGCTGGAACAAGTTGCCCAGAGAGGTTGTGGCTGCCCCATCCCTGGAAGTGTTCAAGGCCAGGTTGGACAGGGCTTTGAGCAACCTGGTCTAGTGGAAAGTGTCCCTGCCCATGGCAGGGGCTCAGAACTGGATGATCTTTAAGACGCCTTCCAACCCAAACCGTTCTATGATTCTACAATGATTCTATGAAAAAATGCAGTCTGTTCCCAGGAAGAATTTGTATTATTTAGTAAAATTTAGTACTCACTAAACTTTCTAGAGAATGTTAATGCATGTCCAGGCTAAGCACACCTAGGTGAGCAAGAGATAGCAGACTCACTGCTCACATATCTCTGGTCAGGCAGCACTGTAGATGAAGTGATTTCAATTGGCCAAAAGCAATTTTTTGCAGATTTCCATCTAAGCAAGTTCTACCTTGATCCTTTTAGAACTGGTGGATCTTGTAGAAATAAACATGGAATGAAATAAATATTGAGATTCGCAGGTTTAACCAGCAAGTTATTCTTTCCGAGGGGAGAATTCCCATGAGGGTAAACAAACAGATTCCGCATTCTTCAAATTACAGCCCTTATTAAGGGAGTGTCCATTAGCTCACGCTGCCAGTGCACTTACCCATCTAATTTCTATTCTAAGTTATCATACGATATAACTACTGGCTCTGCAGATGCAGCTTATTTCTGGAAGGAATGTCACAGCTTTTGTTAGAGCAAAATTCATGACAGAATTCAGTCCTTGCATAGCTATAGGTTGAGTGAAAAGATAAAGATGTTAAAGTCATGAGCTGCAGGAGCTGCTCCCAGACTGATGCACAGTAGGCTGACCTGAGTTACCCATCCGAAAAAATAAGTTGAGCTTCATACCGCTTCATCGCCCATGGGAAGACAGGTAAGATGAGACATAACAAACTGATATAAGTACAGAAAGATATTAGTAAAGCATGTCAATTAATGTACTGCAGTATAACCAGGGTCAGTTAAAGACCCCATGTCTCATACTAACACAAAATCCATACTATCTTTAGGTTCACTGGCCATGTTTGATTTTTCTTTATTATTAACTTAGAAAGTTCCTCCTCATTGAAGAAGCAAAAACAAAGGTCTGATCTTCTCATAAAACACATAACTGGATGGAATTAAGTCACCTAAACTACACAGAACTTTTCCTGAAGCACTGCAGAAGTCCCTGCAGTCACACATGCTGTATGTATGTGCTAGCTTCTTCCCAGTCCAAGACCCAAGGGCCTCTGGGTTCACTCTCTCATTACAGACCCATACAGTTGTGGCACTAGGTGATCAGCCTCACAGCCCAACAAGTTGAAAGGGAGGTGGTAAGGGGTATTTGCCCTCAGGAATACCTAACTCTTCTGCAAGTCCAGTGTGATTCAGTACAGCTTTAGATGGTGAACCTGCAGGCCACATAAAAGCTATGTTTTACCCTCTGATACTACTCCTGGGACAAGGACAGACAAGCTGGCAGGGTGAAGAGCAGTTTAGTCTAGAAGGACTAAATTATAGGACATTAAAATACCAAAATATTTATTTGAAAAGAATAGTACAGCACAGAGTAGAATAGAGTAGAATAGAATCCTTAGCTGTTATATCTATAGCCCACAATAAATACTCAGATCAATGAAGGGTAAATTTAAAAAATAGTAAAATAAATCATAGGCTGCAGAATTCACTCTCCTTGGAGCTGCACATGGTTAGAAGTCTTGAACTGGTTCCTAAAATATCACAGAAATTTCTCCTAATGACACCAGGGTACTAAAGAGCAAAACGCTACTTGAAAATTACTATTATTCTCATTTTTACCTACACAGATAAGTACGTGTTACAAAACAAACACCTAAAAGCATGTGGGATAATCACAAGTTAGCACAGTAAACTCCTGAGGCTGGGGTAGCTGGCAAAGAGGATACACAACTTAATACATGTGGAGAAAATAGAAGGAAGCATATGGGGGCAGTGTATGAATCTCATAAGATACTCATTGTCAAAAAGGGCCTTAGTTGAAGTGGTTTGATCAGGCTGGTAACCTTTTGATCATGGAGACAGTTTGGTTTTTAACCTTACTAGGTGATTTTTCAAAGCATTTTACCTCCTCTGCGTGTAAAGAATAGGGGAAAGGACTTTCGCAGAAGCAGGTTTTACAGCTTGAACAAACAATAGCTCTTTCCTCTGACACATTTATGAATTTACACTTCAGAGAAAACAGCAAATAATGAATAACAACAATAACTGCATTCTGATCAACCATTCCACTACATACAGGGTCATAGGTTATTATCAGTCTGGTTTGTCCTTCTGAGTCATGCTCAGTGCCTGGCACTGCCATGATCCCCCTTCCATAACCTCCTGGGCAGCTTTCTGTAATGACCTGTGTGCTCTCTGGTACCTGTCACTAAAATGATTATATTCTACCTCCTGAAAGAGGACATTTATACATAAATAGTTACTCTAACTGACATCCTACACTGTGGGAAACCCTGTCTTTAAGCATGAGGATGAAGTCTTGGTACCCTATTCTGACATGTAAGAAAAAGAATGGCTAAAATGAAATGCTGTATCTAGCCTTTTAGATGCACTAAGAACTAAAATGAACATATATGATTTTTCCAGCCATAGCGGTGATTTGCATTCTATTTCTAAATCTTTTTCAGTTCCATAATTTTTGCTTCAGTAGCATTTATGAAAAGCAGTCATTGGAGAAAATTGATGGGATGTCTTTAAAGGACACTGGTTTTCACTATATATTGCCTCATTGTAAAATACAA